AAAAAACTCATTTAAACCGGAAATATTTGTATCCAAACAACCTCTAAAATTTATCCAAACAATCCAAACATTTTTAACACAACTACTTTTTTAACTCAACTGTAACTCAACCTCACTAAAATTAGTATTATTAATATAATTAAATAATATCAAACAATCATTCTTACGCATCACATCAACCTTAATTCACTATTCATCCATTCACATACTTTTAACTAACCATCACTTCAGATCATCTCTCTCATACTTTACATCAAATCAACTTTAATTATTTATTTTAAATATTATTTTCATATACCAACTAACAACTAATCATACTACCTTTTTCAAAATTAACCAACTCAAACCAAAAAATACAAACAAATCCAAAAATTTTTATATCCAAGCATCTATACTTATATAAAAAGTCATCATATTTACTAGAATTAGTAGGAAGAAAAATCAACTCATAATTGATTGCACACCATATTTAGAATACTTTTTAGATTTTTTAAATCATAAAATATGGCAGCATTAAATGCCCCTAAAATTATGAATTTTGTTGAATTCATTTTTAATAAAATAAAATCTGCATCCAAATTTAGGTGTAGTTTTGAAGTGAAAATTTAAAATTTAAAATCCCTTCTCATTTTAGTTACAAGAAAACCGTGTTGCATTCAACACTACCAATTTCAAAATTATTCCAAAGGAATTTATAGATTATTGTAATCTCGACTCAACCACATGATTATTTTCAATATATAAATAGACAGATTACAAATTAGTGAATCATATATTACCTAATTCAATATCTTAACATTAAACAATAAATCCATAGTATTATGTAAATCCATATCTCATGTTATTATATCATTAAGAATATATTATAGTTATATTATCAATTCATAAAAAGATAATAAATCTATATTGTAAAATAAATAATAATTCATATAATTTTATAACAATTCTACTACACAATTTAACATTAGTCCTTTTTATTATATAATAAAATAATAATTAAATATTATATGGTAAACAAGAATAAGTAAAACTTTTACTTTCTCTTATATTAAGGAATAAATTTATATGCTAAAATTAAATTTTGATTATTATAAGTGTTTTAGTGAGATAATATATTAATTATTTTACAAGCTAGCCCTAACATATTCATATTTAATGTTCCGCCCTAAAAAAAAAATTCTGGTTAAAAATTTGGAAAAAAACTTATAACCCTATTGTTTTTAAACTTAACGTTGATTAAAAAAGGTATAAAATAGATAATAACTCTATTACTTTTTAGGCTTAAACGGACAAGAATGTGAAATAACTCATTTAATATATCTATCAGATATGAAAAAAAGCTTATAGCTCTATTATTTTTTAGACTTAAGTTGATTAAAAAAGATAGAAAATAGATAATATTTCTACTACTCTAAAAGAACAAGACTGGAAATAATTCATTCAATATCTTTGTCCCGTGATGCACGGGGTACGTAATAGTAATTGTTTATTTGCCTCTCGGGGCTTGAGGCATTAACAGTGTTCCACATCAACGTTATAATGAGTTGATTTAATCATCAATTCATATCCACAATTAAACATGAGCCAACCAAATAAGAATCAAACCCACAATTACTCCTCGAGTAAACAATCAACTTCACAAGAACTTAAGAAACATATAAAAAAATAACCATAAATCTCCAATCCCCATAGAACAAGGTGATCTTCAAAAATAGACAGACAATATTCTTCTCACAAAACCTCCATGTGAGCCATTAAAATCAAATCAAAGACATATAAGCAAACGACACACACTTTATTAAACCCCCAAAACCACACAACGGCCTTGGATTATTCACCACGGCTATCTCCGTGACCAAACACAAAAACACCAAACATCACAAGAAAAACAATCACCTTAAAACACAAACAGAGAGAGTTCCCACAAAAGACCAAGAAATAATACTTCCTTTCAATGAGAAGATATCTTCAGATTGAGAGATTTATGAAACCAAGCCCTCCAACTTCCAGCCCCTTTCCGAGACACTGTAACCGGAGCCGATGATTTGCCGCCACCGCCACCGCCACCGCCGATGGAATTTTCGGTTTGAGGCTTCTTGCACAGCATGAAATTGCGCAGACCAAAGGACCCAATTGTCTCCCATGGACTAAGCGCTGCATTTCACAAATACATAAAGAATAACATAAATACAGATATTTGAGCACAACCAAAACAATTTCAAGAAACTAGACTTCATTCATCAAACAAGAATTAAATCAACATCAATTTTCACCTAATAAAGCAACAACCTGCAGATATTGACTACCCAAATACAGAACTAGAATTCATTCATCCAACAAGAATTTAAATCAACATTAATTTTCACCATGATTCTAAATAAAAAAAAAAATTTAAAAATATATATAAAATTGGCCAGATTGAAACTACCTTCAGTTCCAGAAACAGGGCAATACAGGATGAAATTGTTGAGATCAGATCCAAGAATCGGGAGCCTCCCCTCGCGCGCATACGATTTCAAAGCTGTATCAATCACAGCAGCCACAACCTCGTCCTCGTTAACCACGAACCTAATCGGCCCGGCACTCCCCAGAACAGTAACGCTAATCAGAAACCTGTTTCCCTTCAAGGGCTGATTCTTCTTCTGCTTCAGCAACATTTTTTTTTTTTCTCCGATTTTTCTTAAAAAAAAATTCGAAATTGAAAGCAAAACGCAATCGAGCAAATAAAAATCAAGAAAATTGCTATAACAATCTGGAAAATTACGATCGATTGGCTCACGGGTCGAGGCCTAGGCAGCGGTAGTACCAGCCTACCATGCACGAGCCGAAGCAGAACGAGTGGGCGACCAAAATCGAAATCCCCCTTCTTGAAGAAGAAGAAGAAGAAGGGATGACCATTAATTTTGCGCTCGAGATTTCCACCATTCACAAAGGAATCGCTTTTTTTTCAGACAATTGAGGACGAACAGGAAAAAAGGGGAATTTGCAGAGGAAACAAAAAAAAAAACACACAAAATCACAGATCTGAGAGACGAGCGGCGGAAAGGAATTAGGGATTAGAACGCAAGAACAAAAACTTTTATTGATGTGAACAAAAAGGGAGAGAAAGAGACGTGATTTTATAGATCTCTTCTGTGTGTTAAATTTTTAGGGTTAGGGCTGCGAAATTTTTGTAATATGAATGTGATTTATTATTATCTTCGCCTTGTCGGACACGGTTTACATTTTAAAAGGGGATTGATATTCTGCACGCTTAGCTCTAGACATGGCCAGGTGCCGGGTCTGGGCCGGGCCTGCGTGCCTCAATTATTGGGCCCGTAACTGGCCCGACATATCCTATGGGCCAGTGCCCGGCGATTCAAGAGTAAAAAATAAATAAATAAATAATAAAAAACAACTATGATCCGTCGAAAAAATCGGAATCGGCCCGACAAGTCAAAAACAAAAAATTGAGAACCGAGACCCAATCGCATGGGCACGGTCTGGTTCATAGGCCCGCGCGATTCTGGGACAGTGCCGGTGTCGGTGCCGGTTCGGTCTGGGCCAGTGCCGGTTCGCGGGCCGGGCCGTCCCGTGGCCATGTCTACTTAGCTGGAATTTATTGAGGAAGAAAAATGAATCTGTTGTTGAACGACGTCGTTCCACTGATAGAGGATAACAATAGAAGTTAAGTTCAACTAGTGATTGGTTTTTTTATCATGTACATGTGCCCAGATATAAATTACACAGTATTATAAGTTAATATGTATATACAACATTAAAATTAAAAAAAAAAAAAGATATGCATATATCACATTTTATAAGTTTGACGATTAATAAATTTCTATATTGATTGCATAAAATATAATACATAACATATTTTTTGTTACTTTGAGGGATCACAACCAATTAATTACCTAGAAAAATATTGAAACAATAATATTTATTAATATTATTATTATTATTATTATTATTATTATTATTATTATTATTATTATTATTATT